ACTTGCATAGTAGTTACAAGCAACGAAAAAAATAACACATGCTGCTGGTCACGTACAATCCTTCCAACTGTGCACAAGGACGGCAGAAGCTCCAGGACACAATTTTTCCCTGTTGCCGCTTACACAGCTCAGTACAGCCCTTGTAGCTCCATTGCAGGAGGGAAGACAAAGAAAGAGCTAAGCAATAGGGAGAACGTACACCTAGAATCTCTCCCGCATCCATAATGTGTCAGTTACACTATTTTTAACACTATTTGTAACAAGCCAAAAAGTTTGTAAAATAAATCAACAGAGGTTTTAGTGCTTCTCCAGTAAAGGTCCTACCCACCTGGATAAATCCTAGTCCTCTATCAGGAACACAGCCTTCAGAAATCGCACACAAAATTATCACTGGATATGTTGATGTTTCAAGCTGTCGTGTCTCTTAGTGGTCGATTTCTCAGCTAAACTGAGCTGTAAACATTTTACATCATTCAGGGTGGCAGAAGGCTGCCACAAGGCTGCCAACCAGGTGGAACCTGCAGCTAAACCAGTTTGCTTTTGGGGCAGAGCCTCCCAGAAAGAAAAAGGTGAGGCTGAGGAGGCTCCTGTCTGAACCCCCTGTTCCGGTAAGAGATACAGAGCTTCCTACTGAGTTCTCAGTTCTTCAGTGAAGCTGCTGACATAATCAAGCACAAATACAAAAATAGGAGCAGGATAGCTAAGGACAGATTATTGTTTCGTTGAGGACTTGTTTTTCCTACGTACCAGGTGAAAACAAGGGCACAGAACGGTAAGCATCATGATTAACTTTCAGGAGAGGCTAAAATTATTCAGGTTTATACAAATATAAGCATTTTTTGTTTATTTTTCCCTTGTTACCAGAAATGATTCCCTGGTGAAGATATATAAAGCTTATTTTGCACAAGCTATGAGTCTGATGAGTTTGACTGCTTCTTAAAAATAAAACTTACGTATTCTGACTACTCCTTCATGGACAGATCTTGGAAGTCAGAATTTAAACTCTGGCAATGAGCATAAGATCCACATAGAAACTGGCCAAAGTAGCCAAATTAGTATCCAGCCTTATGATTTACAGTACCTATATCAATGTTTTCCAATGCTCTCTGCCAAGTAAGAAGACGCCAACAGTTTTTGTTTCCTAGATCATTTGCATTTCTCACATTGCTCTGTGTACTTCCACCGTCTTCCACCATCTTTCCCCCAGATTTACCCCTTTACCCAGAATGTCCCAGGGCAACAAACGTTCCTTCATGCTGATGCTCACCTGCCATCTGAAATTGGGATTTCTGGATCGAGGGATAGACCCCCTCATATCTAATAGCAGAGATGCCGAGCCAGGTCAGCACACGTGATAAAGACATTGTAATTTAAAGATAGATTTGTACCACATATTCTCATACTGAAACACTCAGGAAACGTGCCATGGGTCATTTTGGTTCTAAATGTCACAAAGCAGAAATGATGGTGGCAGTTTGTTTGACATGTACTTAACACTGCAATTTTATGACCTTGTCACACACAGTGCTCACCAGAACAGCTCTATACTGGGAACGTTGCTGACAGCACAAGGACAGAAGGTACTAAGAAGCAGGAAAAGACTTAAGACCCAGGAATGTGATGTCTTTAGTTTCAGCACTGTTTGCCTTGTCAGTTGGTCTCAAAGAAGAAAGCCTTAAAAAACATTTCAGACTATAAGTGCCATTCCTGACGCATTGCCAAAAGCTATCTTGTGTCCCTGCACTGCATATCAAAAATTTTCAAATGAAACGAGCTCTGAAGGCTGTTCCTGCACCTACAGAAGGCAGCGACTCCCACTGTAATTGGTAGGTACCAGCTCTGAATGACAGGCTGCAGTTCTAAAGAGCATCAGCATGTATTTTCCTGTATAACCACAAAAGGACAAGGAACGCTTGAAGCAGGCTATAAGCTGCAAGAGAAACAACTCGGTAGATGCTCGCATCACCGTTTTGAGCCATTGTCACTTTTTCAGGTGCTGCATTTTACAGACAAACAGGTGTGGCTTTGTTTCTTGGTGGGAAACGCACACATTTTACACCCAAGCTGGCAGAAGCGTTGCTGAGCAGCACTGAAGCGCCAATATTCCTCCTCGCTCCGTGCATAGGGAGCTGCCTGCTTCCGCTGTACAGCAGGTACAGCTCCTGCTGACAATGCAGCAGTATCCCCTGTGGATTAACAGCAGATGCAATTGAGAGCAAGACACGCAGTGTGCTATTTTGACCTAAGAAATCCCTTCATCTTAATAGACTTTGATGATAACAAGCGGTAATACAACCGAAGTAGCTTCTCAAACCTGCTGGTGATTCTGCACTTGTGAAAACATTTTTTAGTTCAGTTTCAGAAATTTAACACAGCTACCAAGAAAAGCCCTAAAATAAAAAACGCTGCCTATTCACCTATTCTAAATCTACACACAAGTGCACCAGATAAGCATTTGTCTTACAGCTTTCATATACTGCTGCCATTAACAAATCAACTTGTATGAGTTTATCGAAAGTTATTTTTATAAAATGCTTTAAAAATCTAAGTAGAGATAAGATAATGCATCATTATGTTTCACAATATCCAGTCACTCTTACTTAATACAAAGCAAACAACACTGAGCTCTTACTGTACAGATACAGTAGGATGCCTTATTTAAGTGTACCTATTGAAATATTTGGCCAGGAGATCAAGGCCAAGTTTTATTTCATGCTTTTATGCTTTCATTTCCAAGCCAGATGGTTCAGACAGTATTGCTAAACACTGCAAACTGATCTAAAACCCTGACAAACCAAATCCAAGTCTCAATTCCTCTCCCCCAAGCAAGACACATCCAACAGTATTCCTGTTTTTGTTGGTCAGGGTACCTGCCAGTTCCCACATACCAAACAAAATTGCTTTAAGGGCCAACTTCATCTCCTAACAGTCCTCCTTTGCCAAGGCTATGCTAATTGTCTAGGCTCCCCATGCAGTTAATGGAGAAAGATAGGCTTGATGAGGCATCTATCCTGATATAACATGAATGATCTATATGCGATGAATCTTACTCAGGGCCTTAGAATGGGTCTATGCTCTGTGGACTACAGCAGAAATTAAGACACCTAGCACAAAAAGAATACACAACCCTGGGAGAGCTAAGTCAGGCAAGCTCCAGCTCATCAGGTGATGGGGGAGTGGGGGAAGTAAAATCCTTACTTATAGGCAGAGGTAAATAGGGAATGATTACTCATTATTTCTCATAACATAAGAGCCAAGACAGGCAACAAGGTTAAAAACAAAGGCAAGTATTTTCATACACAGTTCTACAATGAAACTCAGTCGGAGCATGTTATGGCAGCAAAAGTATGAATGGCTACAAGGAAATTAGACGATTTCACGGTGGTAAAAATCTAAAGGCTCTTGAAACAAAAATACGTGGCCACAGCTGCCATGTCAAATAGGCTGTAAGCCACAAAATTACAGATGCTTAAACAACAACCTTCCCCCCCCCCCCCC